GGTTTAGGGTTTAGGGTATGGGCATGTGGGGGGTTCCCAGAATTTGGGGTACCTTTAAAGGGGACATAGGGGTTATATAGGAAGATTATAGGGATGTATAGGGTTTAGGGTTTCCTGAAATTTGGGGTACCTTTTTGTGGCTCCTCAAACTACGGATTTTAGTAGATTGGGGTCCATATTGGGGTCCTCTTATTTAGGGAACTACCATATAGGGGTTGTATCTAAATGGACACGTAGGGGTTATACAAGTGCTTTGAAGGGGGCATGTATAAGGGCAGAAGTTATGAAGTTTCTCGCCTTTAAACGGAAACCGCCTGGGCCTTGATCGTCGCAGGTCATTTTCGCGTGGTTTTGGCAGCTCCGTGGGTGTAACGTGGGTTATATGATATGAGCTATAGTCTAAACTCCTAGTATCCCGCTTAATACCCTGTACATAGTAGTCCGCCATAAAACCCCCTATATAACACCCCTTTAAGGAGTTTAGACTACAGCTCATATGGACAGGCTTGTTTTTTGGTGGGAGGGCCTTGATCTTCGTGTTTTGCTGTCTAGCAATTACAGCCGGCTTAAGTAGATACAATGTGGGGTATATTGTTGGGGCTCTATAGGGATAATGGAAAAGAAAATGGAAACGACTATACTATAATGGGGTATATATTGGGGTTATAGTACCCCTTAAGTAGATAGAATATGGGGTATATGGAGATCTTACTATAATACACCCAAAGCCATGTTCTTCTATCTACTTGCGGGCCACTATAGAGTGTTTGCCAACTAGCCTTCTGTTTAGGAATTAGAGTATTTGCCAACTAGGGTTCAGGGTCGTTGGGATTGAGGTTCGGGTCGAAGTTTGGGCTTGATTTTTTGTCTTTCTCAAAATGATGTGCGAGTTCTCGTTTTTGAAGGTCTATGTAGGAATCAATGTAGGGAACTTGGGGACTATCGCATGACTGCTACGTGGTCCTTGCTTTTGGTACTTGGGGCTTCCAAGCGTTTTTTATTCTACAGCCACATGAGGCAGGAGTTGTCACGTGTTTTCGTGGGAATATATAAGG